CCCCCCCATTTATTATTTAGCTAAACATTTATGCTAAATATGTTATTTACAATGTGCAATATATTAACCATTGTTATCCTTTTATTACCTTGGGGGAGGTTTATTTTTTGTTTTTGGTGCCGCGGCCCGAACCCAGGGCTTCAGCTTGCTAGGCAAGCATTCTACCGCTGAGCAAATCCCAGCCCTTCTATTATCTTGTTTTGAAGTTTTTAACCTTTTTCCTCTTTCAAATAAAATTTATAAACAAATAGTTATTTAGTATAATTTCTATTGATAGTTAAATTCAGTAGTGTTTACCTATACATTAATCCCATCCAACATATTTTATTTCAGACATTATAGTTGTGCCTGTGTGGTCCTGGGGACCAAGGACACTACCATGAAGTATATCCCCATCCCTTTTCTCTGCACGGCCTTTTTTTTTTTTTTTTTTTGGCACCAGGGATTGAACTTAGGATCCTGCGCTTGCCAGGGAAGCGCTTCTTCTATTGAGCCATCTCGCCAGCCCCCACACAGCCCTTTTAATCCCACCTGGTATCACAGCCAGTCTTTCATCTCCAACACTGCAGTGTCCACCTCCCAAAGCCAGGGAACTTGTGTGTGATGCAGACATAATAACTCTGTCCTCTCTGTCCACCAACTCTTATCTGGGCCACTTCTGACTCAGTTTTTTATTGATTAACCTTTCTCTTCACGCTGGCTTATATTTCATGTCTCCGAATGCCTGGTAATTTTATTAAATTTTTATTTGGAAGGGCCAGCCAGAGAACTTGGCAGATTAAAGCACTTGCTTAGGCAGACGCAGGGGCCAGGGGTTTGATGCCTGGCCTGCTGTGCCGACCCTGCCCTCGGGGTGCACAGAGATGGCAAATGAGACTGGGTGTGGTGGCACGCGCCTGTGATACCAGCACTTGGGAGGGTGAAAAACAGGAAAGATCGCTACAAGTCCAATCTGTGTAGTGAGACTCTGTAGACCCCGCACTAAATACATTTTTTAAAATGTATTATTTGAAAACTACAGTTTTACAGGACGTTGCAGAAATAACACAGTATTCCTGTGTACCTTCAGGAAGTTTCCCCAGGGATGGCATCTTATTCAACTTTCCAACAAAAAAACCTAAGAAAATACTGACAGTACACATAACTGGCCTCTTATTCCATTTAAACTTTATGAGTAATCATTCGTGTGTGTGTGTGTGTGTGTGTGTGTGTGTGTGTGTGTGTGTGTGTGTGTGGTGTATGCTGCACAGCCACATCACAGACTCAGAACCACCCCCACCTCCCGGGTCCCTCCTGCTCCTCTCCACCAATCACACCCATCTTTCTCCCCTTAGCTTTCTCCTGTAAACCACTAATCTGCTTTGCATCTCTATAATTTTGTCATTTTAAGAACATTATGCAAATAGAGTCATATAGCTGGTAACTCCTAAGAGGGCTCTTTCTTCCTTGCGTACTTCCCTTGGGGAGCTTCCCAAGCTCTTCTGGCATCACTAGCTCCCTCCCTCCCCTCTACATGTGGTAGGCCAGCACTGCAGCCATAAGGGAGGTACCGCTGGCTTAACCAGCAATCTGCTGGTGGGCATCTGAATTATTCCCAATAAAACTGCTTTGAACATTTGTCTGGATATAGTTCCATATAGGAATGAATGCCTATGACTGAACCAGGCACAGTGGCACACACCTGTAATCCTAGCACTTGGGAGGCTGAGAGTGGAGGCTCACTGTGAGTTTGAGGCCAGCCTCTGCTACACAGTAAACTAAAAATTTAAAAAAAAAATTAAAAAATGCCCATGACAGTAACTACTGAGACACATGCTAAAAATATGCTTAGCTTTTTTTTTTTTTTTTTTTTTTTTTAAAGAAACTATCAACCAGGGCAAGCTGAGAGGCAATTGAGACTGGGCGTGTTGGCACATGCCTGTAATCCCAGTACTTGGGAGGCTGTAAAC